CTATTCGAATGGCTGATGAACAGCTGGTAAACGGCTAACCATTCGGAACATTTTCCTGTGAGAGGTCACAATTTATCTATAGTTTTTAAAATAATAAAGTATGTGAACTTACCTCATCTGTTTTCTGTAGTTCTTTATGCTTGTTTAGGTGAAACAACTTGTTAGGGACAGTTTGCCCCTCCGATCCCCCTTGTGTGGATCACGTGATTTTTGCTACCATTTGCTCAAACAATTGTGTTGTGTGCCGTTTTGTGTGTCTCTACAGACGAAAGTTTGTTTCTTGAGTCATCTTTTACCCTTTGATGTTGACATTTTATTTAAGCCTGAAGATGCCCAAAAATATGCGAGTTGTCGCTTTTGTGTTATTTTTTTGTAATTCAATATTTACTTCAGTTTCGAGTCTCTAGCTTTCTGCTTTATATAATTTACAGTTGTACCGACTAACAGAAGATTACGTACCAGATTAAAAACATCTTCAGAGCACTATTTTATTTGTGATTGTCTTAAACACAACTATACCTATAGTGTTGTGAGCTGGGGGCACCTGTGGAATATCTTACACGAAAAAGAACCATCACAACTTTGCTTCACTGAGCTGCGAAAAAAGGCAGTCTTATTTCTATGCCAAAACTTGATCATGAGATGTTACATGACTATTTTGGCTGGAAATTTATGGCAATCTGATTTTTTTCAGATCCAGTCCAGGTTTTGTCAATCGGACACAATCTAATCCAGGTTTTGTTAATCCGGTCTGATCCGGTCCAGGTTTTGTCAATTGGAGGCAATCCAATCCAGGTTTTGTTAATCCGGTGTGATCCGGTCCCGGTTTTGTCAATCCAATCCAATCCGGTCCTGGTTTTATCAACGCCCAGCAGTAGGAATGCTTTCTGACACATGAGCCTCAAGCAGTGTCAGTCCTTTTCCTAATGTAGCTTGATTTTTTCATCTACACTTTCTTGAGGTTTGATGTTTTCAATGTTGATGTTTCCATCTAGAAATTGAATTGGACTTGAACTTTGAAAGAAATTGAAGCATTTATTTTAATTAAACAATATCCTGTCTGCCAAGTTGCCTGAAAAAGAACCGAAAATTGAAACCCATACCATATCTTTTTCTACAAAACATCTATAAAGTAAAAAAAAATTTAGTGCACTAATTAGATGTCTAATTAAAAGCAATATAGGACAAGGCTTGCAACCACACTCAGGTTTTTTAGCAAATTTAACTCCCCTATTTCAAACTAGATTTAATTCTAAAATATTAATGATCTGATGAATGTGATAACAGTTGCTCTTCCATTGATAATGTGTCCTATCTTGTCCAAATTCTAACTTCATCCCTCCAGTATTATCTAAGAAAATTGCTGAGAAGATAACAAAATATAGCTTTCTGACTATGATTGGTGTTATACATAAGGACCAAAGGAATTTGAGCAGTGGGGTTTAAATCAATCAGTGTCTCAGGTTGTTTAGGG